AATTTATTATGATTTATTATTAATAATAATAATAATAATAATAATAATAATACATGTAAAAAAAACATAATGCAAAAAGAAAATAAAATCATACATCACGTGAACTTTACTAGTAAGTAGAAAAATGATCGTTGAAGAACTAAGTTAGTAGCAATGGATTAATTATGCATTTGACCATTGGAGAACTAAATCATATATATATTAACTAGTAGTCTTACGCCGTGCACGCACGGCGGACTCAAATTTAGTCTAAAATTACAGTGAAAAATTATCATTAGTAGTAAAAATCAGTGAAGTTGATGTCAAATTTTTACACTGGTTGTTAACAAAATAAACGTTCACCATAAATGGCTCATTACACAGGTTTATAGGCAATTGTTGCAGTTCAGTTGCTGAAGCTCTCTACATATATTATGCTTATTAAGTTGACATGGTCTCAAATGAACAAAGGCAATCACATTTCTTACTGCAACAACCCAAACACACAAAGAAGTCAATGAAAATCGACACCCCAGAATCAAAAAAGAAACACACACATAAAAAACATGACCCAAACACNAAAAAAAAAAAAAAGATCATAAATATAAAAGGATAAAATAGGACATGTGGGTACTGTTTCTGAATAAACTTAGGTCGGTCTTCCTCAAACATGAACTTGTAAGAGTTTATTTCTTCTGCTGTTGGGATGTATTCTGGAGAAGGGTTGTAAGATTCCTCATGGCCTGAGATTAATTTACATAAAAAAAAAAAGACAATCCTCAAAATTAAATGAAATGAAAATATTATTAGCAACAGATAAGCACATGTAAAATTACATAAGAATATACTGTCATTACATAAGCAAGTCACATGGAAATTTAGGATTTGGTGCAGCAATATGTGCCAACCCGTCTTTCCCCAGAGCTGCAATCATCCCACAAGGAGTACAATTTAGGATCTTCCTTAAACTTATCATCAAGTTTAATCCTACCTTCTCTGGTCGGTCAACAACCACGAACTTGCCGTCGATTCCATATGTATTCCCGATCTGATGAGAGATTTCGTGGATTTTTCATACAAAATCGACCATCGCTTTCCACTATTGTTGTCTTATTTAAATATGAATATACATATTCATACATAGTCTTGAGTAACAAAATTATTACAGAAATTAACACACAAGGGCAAATCTAAATTAAACTATGAATATCTTAAGCTACCAACCTTAATATGTAATGATAGATATATAAATAAGAGGGGATTTAACTGAAAGTCAACAAACTGGCTAAACATACATGCATGTATACCTCTTACCCACAACCACAGAAGAGGAAAAGATATCAACTTACACCATGTGTATGCCTAGATTCTCTTCAACTTAAGAAATTTCAAACAGACTAAAAAAGGGATATTGTTGTCTCTCATGGAAAACGGCGTAATCACAAGCACTTTGACACATTAATCTTTGACAATAAATGCTCCAGCTTTAAGCAATATAAACAATACATCCGGGTACAGTTCAGATGAAAGATAATTTTATAACAAAACAAATAGCTAAAATAGAGAATTGGAACTTCTGACCTATACTCAAATATCCTTGCTGTTATACAATGTTCTCCAATCACCCTGACCCAAGTAAAAGAATTTTGATTGAACTTTCACAACAGCAAAATTATATAGAAAAAAGTTTTAGATTTAATCCTTCCATGGTACTCATTTGTATAAGGAACATATACCAGACATTGTCATGAGAATTTTCCAAAGTACTTGCAGTTAAACGGAGTAGAATGGATAGATTAAAATAAATGGCACATGCTTTCTTCATTTTGAGAACTGAACGTAAATAAACAAGTGTTATGAATTACATAAAAGCAAATAAATTAAACTATGAATTTCTCGGCCAAAAGCACAAAGAACGACAGTGGATTGAACAATTTCACACACCGTAAAGGTTCCCCTGTATTTAAGTGTTATATTATTAGACCCGAGACTATAACATTCTGAAAGCAGTACTTAAAGAATAATATGAAAAAACAAAAAAAAAACAAGTTCCTGAGAACTCAGAACTCATATGCCTGCATTCAATTGATTTAAAATAGTCAAACTGGAAAATGTGCAACCATATCACCATAAGGAGGGAGCCAGCTAAAATAAATTTGATCAGAAGGCTAAATAATCCAGAATTATCAACATGAAATCAGCGCTGTCGGATTGAATATTCATCATAAATACATAAATTGGTATTGTTTTATTTTAGCTAACCAAATGATTATTATTGTAAAAAATCTGGAGATTTGGGGAATAAAAGAGAATCCTTTTATTGACTGGAATTTGTTGGTGGAAACTTTTTCCTTATTTAATCCATTAAAACAACTTTCATTCACAGAAACTTATACCATCTACCTTTTCCTATTTACACGAACTGCCAGAATGGATGTCCAGAAGTTGAGCTCCCTCCTTGATAGAGCAGCTCCACTTATGGTATTGAACAAACATAATCTCCTTGGAGATAAAGATGGCTGGTGGAAAAAGATGCATATTGTCACGTGAAAAAATAATCCTAGTAACATTAACAATGATGAAAACAATGAGTAATGTGAGGGAAAACC